GTTCCGTACTTTGAACTCACTTGCGCCCCGAAACATGCGTTGCCACATCACGTGTTTCGGGGCGCAAGGAGACAAAGTGTCAATATTGGTGTCTCGAAAACACGAAACACGCCCCGAAACACGTTATGATCGATTAGGGTTGCAGTGTGACTAGTGATTCTGGTAGGTTTTGTTATTACAGGTAATAGATTGTGGGAATAAAGCATGTCAAGGTATCTACCTGTTTGCAGGTGTGTGTGATGTTTTAAAAGATCAATATTCATATCCCCCAATATATATACTTCATATTTGTTCACATTTAATTGTTTAAGGAATTAGTCAAGCATCATTGTAAACAGTGCATAAGAATAAAAGCATATGAAAAATCTGAAATCAAAATTAGGTTTTATCAACGACTTTCACAAAGATCCAGTCTCTAGCATTTGAATGGAATACACCGCAAGAAGAATCAGTATTCTTCTGTGCTGCTGACTTGATATGTTCGAGAATCATCAGTAAAGTGCTATTGGCGTTAGGGACAATTATTCGGTTGCTGCTGGGATGTGATCTTTGGTTGAATTACATCTGAATATAGACATAGTAAGGGCCAGATGCTGGCAACACAGCCTTTAAACAAGCCGTTCAACAAATGGCTCGAGGGGTCACTAGGATTCTATGTCTTGATTACTGAGAAGTGGATGAGGAAACAAACAACACGATTCAAACCAACAGAACGGTTTTCAGTTAAGTGTCGAAAATTAATAGGTTTTGCATTACTACGCTGCGCTATTGGCTTAAAAACAAACTCGCGCCACTTTATAGGATCAAAACTAATCAGGACTCACTCGCAAGCGTTTTCTGGCGCTTGGCGACAGCTACATGTATGTTGTGAGAGGCTCGATTGGTTTACTGGATTGTCTCTGTCCTTTGTGATTGGCTAGAGTGACACTTCGGTTTTGGTTTTTCGGCATTCAACTGAAAACTGCCCTATGTCAATAGCTAATTACTTTATTTTTAAATGTTTGATAGAGAAGACTCGAAAAAGGAGGAAAAACACACGTACGGCTTGTGTATGTTGTATCCCAAACCTTCCTTTCGTGTTGCTCAATTCGATAGACACACGAAAAAGTTTCGAACTTGTGAGATATTTTATGAAAAGAGATGGCTGAATGGGACTACGCTTAATCATTCGAGTTTGGCTTAAAACAACAAAAATGTCAGTTGCAACCCAGTCCCTTACGGCCAAAGTATACCTAGAAGTACCTCACCTAAGCGTTGTATAGTATTGTAGTTGTCTCGGTCGCCAGTGAAAACGTCCATGCGTTTTGTCTGTCCTGGGGTCCTCGGTCAAGATTATTCCACACAGACTTTCCGCTCCGTTAATAAGAACTAATTATTATATGGCTTGTGTTTGTAGGCGATATAACGCGCGCTCTGATTGGTTAATTGTCACTGAATTGTAGGGCATTATTCTCCCGTAATGCCCAC